TTTGAATAAAAAAGTAATAGATTTTGAAATATATAAATACTTTACTATAACGATAAATAAGAGAAAATAAAATATTCAACAAATTTATAAATTGTAAAGAATTATAACTAATAATGAGTAAAGCTTATTAACAGTATTAAAAAAAATTGTTATAAAGATTAATTTTTTAAATGTAAGATTTTCTTATTTTTCTTTTTTTCAATAATAAAAGATATTCTTGTAATAAAATTAATAAAAATATTACAAATTTAGATTTTACAATCCACAAGGAAATTTATATAATAATAATAATATTATTATTTTGAAAACTAAAATAGATAAATAATATTAAAACTATATTATAGTAATTTGTTTTTAAGTTTTATAATTTTATTTTATAACTTTTTTATTATTAGTATTTATTTTTTTGATCTAAAAAAATAAGTTTGAACTTGTTACCTTCAAAAATTTAATATTTCTATTAAGAGATTGTTTTTGTACTTTTTACCCTTTTTATATTTATTTATATCTTTTTTAAAATTGTAAAAACTATTATTATTACTTTGTTAGAATTAATTATTATTAGATATAGAAGTTTAATTGATAAATAAATAATATAAGTCTTTTGAAATGAATAGATTACAATTTAAATTAAATAATATAGTGTTACAATGGATTAGTAACAGGCTGTAGAATCACTAATCTATAGACTATAATGATATTATAGGTCTCAGTGATTCAACTGTGGTATATCGGGGGATACTAAGTATTTAAGAAAAGTCTTAGGTATATATATAATATTAGTTATAAAAAACCCTAAAAATCTAGAATATAATTCTTAAAATAATAGATTCTAAAAAAAACAAAATATAATAAACAAAAAGGTTTTATTAGAATTAATAATATTCTAAGGGATTAGCTCCAGAATAAAAAAAAAATTAAAATATCAAGAATCACAAAATTAATATTTTATAATAAATAATTTAGGAATAATAGTATTACAAAAACAATTAACTATCCTAATTATCTAAATAGAATAAAGATTTATATAAAAAAATTAATTTTATTACAATATAAAACTTTATATTTAAAAACAATTATTAATTTTATTGCTATAATTACAAGAATTACAATTAATTACAATCTTATTGAATTTCTATTTAAAATTTAATTTAAACTATTTTAAGAGATTTCTAGATACTTCTATATGATTCTAGAGGTAGCTCCCATAACATATAGAGAATATAATAATAATATTTATAATTCTATATATTCAAAGGAATATTTTTATTAAGTTTTGATTAAAATAGATTTTTTTTATTTAAATAATATCGAATTATATAATTTATTTAAATAGATATTAAATTATAAAATATTATTTGGATAATTATCAAATAGTTATATAATTATATAATAAGTTATAAATAATATAATATTTTATTTTAAAAGAATTATAAGAATAGAATATAATGTATTCTTAGAATCTATAATTATAGAATTAGAAGTAAAATGTTTATAAAGTATATCTATATATTAGCTATATTAGCTATATATATATAATTGTATATATATATAAACGCGCATGTAAGCGATTACAACTACGATTGAGTACGATCCGTGACAGAATATACAGTAAAACCTCTCTATAAGAAGCCCTCCTATAAGTGTAACCTCTATTATTCTTGTTTTTTTAGGTCTCAAATTTTTTTAGGCCTAAAAATAACCTATATTTGTAATGAACTTAATAAGTATTTAGAGATCAATATTAGAATTAAAAGCTATAGAGTTAAAGAGAGTATACTACAAAGCTATATATATAATCGGCTCGAAGCTTAATATTATACTTGGCTCGATCGGACGCGATTATATATATATTGTAATAATATCCTTAAAACCCCTCTATTAGGATATTCTTATATCCTTCGATTCTATAATCACGTATATCCTTATTGAGCTAATAGAGTTATTAGGATTAGTTATTATATAATCGATACATTGAAATTTTAGTCAATTTTTATGAAAGTGGAAAATTATCACGAAATATAATCCGATCGGGACTAATCGGAAGCGGAATACTACTATGTCGGGATTAGTCGGATACCTCTATACAAGGATACCTCTATATATCCTTAAAAAAGTTTACAAAAACCGGTATCCTTATAGATAGGTTTTGCTGTAATGAAAATATCTTTTTTCAGATTTTTGTAAAACTCTGAATTGAAGCCAGAAAGAATGATGGTCAAATAAGACCTTTTTAATGAGATCACAACCCCCCCCCCCGCCCCCCCACTGAAATGCGTCACCACTGGTAGCGACCACCATAAAAGACCTAGAAATAATTCTTAGGGACTCCGTCTTTGTAATTCAATCCGCCATCTGCTAGAAGATCCATGCTCTTCTCCTACTTTATAGTTCTTTAGCGACGCTCATAACATTCCCTCGAACACGAAGCCGCTTTCCTCGTAAAGTTCTTTCAATGCGTATATTCTTGTGGATTAGCAGCCGCTAAATCTTGCCTGTGCTATGTCAGCACAATTAGATAAACAGCCAAAGACATGTAACGTGGTTTATTATCGAGTGGCCTATATCATCGAATAGCCCACTTTCATCTCAATTTATACTTTCAAATCTATATTATTCAATAACAATTGAATCAATTGATTAAAATTATTAGTAATCTAATAACCTAGGATTTATTATATTATTTTGATAAATTCTTATATTATATTCTATCTTTCCATATTTATTATAATATTAATTAGAAAATACTTTTCTATTAAAATTCCTTCTTTTTTGATATTTATTGTATTGAATCTAAATATCATTTTCCTATTGAAATAATATATTAAAAGTTTTTCATTTAATAAATACTTTTTCTTAATATAATTAGATTTTTTTTTTATATATTAATACTTACTTAATATTTTATTTACTATTCGAAATATATAAATCTTTATATTTAAAAATATATTTTTATAAACTAATTTCTTTATATTTCTAATTAAAATTAATATAATCTCGAATATAAATATAAAAAAGTTTATTTAATAACAAATTATTCGAAATTTAATTAATATTAATTGAGAAAAGATTTTAATTGAATTATAAAGGATTTAAAAGATTTATTAATTTATATTGAAAAAGGGGGGGATAGATATATAAACTTGAATATTTAATTTCGAAAATATAGTTTCAAAATTAAATAGAATTAAATCTATTCTTTGAAATTCTGATTTTATATTCTAAAAAACAATTGATTTTTTATATATAGTTTTAAAAACTATAAAGAATTCAATTTTCGAAATATAATTAATATATATTTTAATAAATTTATTAATTTAATTATTATATAAATATTTTAGATTACTAAAACAGCTAATATTGAATAATTAAATTAAATAATTTAAATATAATAATAATTATAAATATATAATATCATTTTTTATATAATATATCTAAAAAGCTATTAATTTATAGTCTTTATATTTATTTAGTATTAATATTCAATATTTATTCTTTTTTCGATTAATATATTTATTAAAGTATTTCAATTATTCTAAATCTGTTTTATTATTTGTTTATTTATTAAATATAGATTTAATAATCTATTCTATGAAAAGATTTATTTTAGTATATTAATTGAAAAGATAAATTTATTCTTGAATTATTAAAAATAAAGAAATAGTTTTATTCTTTTTATTTCTATATATTATTACTATAATTCATTCTTGATTATCTAATTATACGATTTTATTTCTACCATTTTGTTTAGTATTAATTATTATTATTACTATATATATAATCCTTATTATAAAATCTATTTTATTAAAATTATAAAAATTTCTATCCAAAATGCTATATTTTACTTATATATTTATAATTAATTGAAAGCATTTTTTAAAAAACTTAGAATTTTTGTAAAGAATTTTTTGAAAATTATAAATATAATTAAAATATATCTTTAATTCAATTTGATATTTTATAAATCAATATATTCAAAACTTTTCAATTTATTTTATATTTTTCAATTTGAAAATATTATTTATTATATTTATTATATTTTTTAATTTAAATAGAAATCCTTTTAAATCTATATTGAATATATATTAAATAATTTTTTTTTTCTAATTTTATGATTTTATAATAATTTGCTCAAGTTCTTATATAAAAAAATAAACCTTTTATTTTATATCGAAAAATTATATGAGAAATGTTATAAAATATAATAGTTTTTCAAATACTTAATTTTTTATTTTCATAAATAATTTTGATAATAAGAAGTATATAAGCTTCTTGATTATTTGAATTTATTATAGATTATTAATAAAATACTTATTGAAAAAGATAGATATAAATTGAAATGAAAATAAGCTATTTAATAATATAGGCTACTCGATGATAAACCATGTTATAACGTTTTAATGCAAGCAGTATGAAAATTTCTATAATATGTCCACAGACGTGGTGATGAGAAGTGAAGAATTAAATGTATTGTATGTTCTAGGAAGGATGTGTATCAGCGCAAGTGTCTTTCCGCTATCTAGGCCACCCGACCCTCGAAGACTAGCAGTCCAGTATAAATAACACCGGGTGCCGAGCCAGCATAAATACAATTAATTTCGTAGTCACGTTATTGTTAGTCTTAGAAGTGTTAAAGATTGTTGAAGCGTATTTAATATCTTTAATCTCAACCCTGATTCCTGTAATACGCTGAAGGGGAGAGGAGTTGTTCATGGTTAGCATCGATAAGGTTCAGATATTTGGTAAAATAATATGTCTGTAAGGGAACGCCAGGTTCTAGCTTGTTCCAAGAATTACGACCAGCTCTATGTGTCTTTTTTCAGCCGGAGCTCGTGCCAAATAATAGATTTGAGGGGACATATTGCCCCATCAAATAAGCATTACTCGAAACGGTACGATCATAATGTCTACTTCTCACCATCATTATATCTATTTTTTAAGGTATCTTTCTAGCTTGTACTCATTTCGTGTTTATTTAGGATAACGACACCTGCCGTAAGATGAGTCCTATAAGTTCGCTTCAAACCAAATTATCTCCAAGCCCTTCTTCTGGAAAATACTCTTCCATTGAGTCGGAAGAAGACCCGACATCGCCAACAAAGTCACAGTTCTATGGACTGAGAGGGAAGATAGTTTCTCTCTCCGCAATACTGAGCCCTGTCTTCCTGCTTCTTCTTGTCTTGAACCTACGCATTTCTTCACATTTAGAGAATGATTATACGACCCGCACCATTTTTGGTGACAGTATGACCTCTTCCTTCGTCCTTATCCTCTCTCAATGTAAATTCGTCAACTTACTTTCTCTAGTTCCATGGACCAGACAGACTTTCGGTGGAAATGATAATTTTCTTCATGCTGATCCGTACGATGGCCAGGCTTGGACTCTCTACAAAAATCAAAACTTTGATCCTGAACGTCAGTCTACAGTTTGGGACGATATTTATCCAAGCAATTTCATTGCGGTCGAAAATCCACAGCAGTTTGGGTTCCAGGGTGGAGTGGAATTAAGTGCTGAAGCACAGAATTCGACCGATTTTGTGGCTGGAAGTCAGGGATTTGGGTTGGCTTTTTTGCATCAGATACACTGTGTTGTGCGCAGAAATTTACCTCAAGTATTGCTTTCGTAATGGCCTGGCTAACAATTCTTTGTAGGGTGTCCTAAAACACTATTTGTCCTACGTGAATCGTAGTGAAATGACGGCACAGCAGACCGTTCACACGGATCACTGCATAGAAGTTTTAAGACAGGCGCGTTCGATTTTTTTCAGTTCTTTAAGGAATCAAAGTGTGAAAAAGTACTGACTTTTATCTGAAGCTTATCTTGTGTAAAGCAGACTTGAGCGTGCAGCGTCCCAAGGGGCTTCCCTCTTCTACGAGGTGGCCTTCACAGCAACAGCATATTTGTCGTGATGAAAGAGTTTTGATGGATGCGATATGGAGTCGTGCGATTGTTAAAGCGGATGGTGGGTGGATACGGCGACGTAAATAGCGTGTTTTACATATGGGAAATTACAACTGTCTGCTTCTTCCCACTCTTGTATCCATCGGTTTTGTAGTTCCCATCCCACCATATTGTGCCAATTTATCTACTCTTTTTTTATTCGAATGTTACTAGATACAAAACCAGAATTACGCAACAGTACTTAAGCATTTTCTGATTTATGAACACTCGCTCCGCGCCATTGATCAATATCTCAGGAGACATGAACGCTATACAGATAGCGCAACCACTAGCATTTATTCGTTTGACATTGCCATGTGTAAGAGCGTCGTAGAACAATGTATCAGCACCGAGGTACGGTCAAGATGCCTTCAGGACGCATGCTTTCATGTATTCATTCTTTAGCAGACCAAGCAAAATTGAGCCGCAATATATCGCATAAGGGAGATACTCATTTTTCATATTTGTCGGGCTGATGCTCGATGTGCTTCGTACTTATATATGTGAGAACCCGAAACATGAACACCGTGCCGTAACAGTCGTATGACCAGCAAGGCCTTCTATCATCTATGCCTTCCAATATCCAGGTATGCATCAAAGTTCCAAAGTACTAACTGGCACCGCTTAAAATTGAAAATCAGAGCGGCCCACATAAAATTTCAATCTGTGTCGTCGAGATGAAGACAAAGAAATACGCTGGATATTTTCAAATACAAGATCCTACGCTTGGACCAAGTACCACGAGATTATTATCTGACTAGCGTGTCCAAACACTCACTGTTTAGAGAATGAACGGAAGTTTCATAGGCAGTAAAATCTGGGAAGAGCTCGTGGAAGAAATCAAGATCATGTTGTATCTCAGAGCCAGAAGTCTCTATTGTATCAAGCATTGTCTCCAAATCCCCTCCCAAAAAAGCCTGGTCAAGCTCCAGAGTCGTCGTTTCGATATTACCGAAGTCGTCGCTGCCAAGGACTGATTCTGGATCTTCCTCGGAGGTCGTTGGCATTGACATCGTCTGATTCCCCTCTTCTAGAAGCAGATCTAGGTCTGAAAGCATAGAAGGGAATTCATTCTGTCTCATTACACCATCCCAGATTTCTGATACTGGTGTTGCGAGAGACGTTATATTGGAATTCTCTTCTACTGTTTTTCCAGGACATTGGTCGTTTAAATTGGCATAGCGTTGTAATTCGTCAAACAGCGAACTTTTTGTTTCACGAATCTCCGTGCTGGTCCAACCATATGCGATAAAACCATTTAGGAGTGCTTGTACAGCAGCTTGATCGTATGACTTAATCTCGTCATACAACTCGATGGCATAGGACTTGATAAATTCTATAATAAGAATGATATCGCTGACGCTAAGCTTTCTTTCCCATCTGAATAAATTCTTTAGCATCTAAAGCATTGACCATAGAAAAATGAAACTTACATAGTCGATACATTGCTACCCATGCGAAGCACGAAACCAGGTCCGCCTTCCATCAAAAGTCGAATATATCCTCGACCGGCCTTGCGTTCAGCTCGAAGAGCGTCCATGGTGACGGAGATGTTCTTCGCCTGTAGCTGAAAGGCAGCCGTCACTTTTCCTCTACCTTGAGACAACACAAGTTTTTGAGATTGAATTATCTGCTCCAAATCATGTTCCAAATAGATATAACAGAATCGAGCTGCAGCGAGATACTCCTCCCCACCTCTTTTAATCTTTCGATGGCCCTCATAGAGACTTCGGAAGCGAGCTGTGGAGCCTGTAACTTCTGGTTTAGAAAAGATGGCTGATTTCTTGTTCCACATCTCCTTTGCGAAATCGCACGGGAGCTGAGGTGCCTCAAGAAACCCCTGGACGGCGCGAACAAGATATTTAGCGCGGTTCGCACGCTTAGTAAGCATCGTCTCAAAGAACTCCCTCGCCTTGACAAGGATGTTGGGAATAGCGGGATTGCGGGATGGGACATAAGATGCAGTTCGCAGCGATTGTACACGGTCCAGTGTCAAGGCATAATCTCCTCCATCTTTATCGATGTGAATTTGAACATGGCCATCCTCTGGGTCTTTGTCAATTTCTTGAGAGTAGGACGTAGTTGAAGGGACTATCTTATTAGAGGGGGAGTGTGCAGTGGCATTTGATGAACTAGAGGCCGCCCTTGAGGGTTGAACTCTCCGCTTGCGAGTAGAGCCATTTAGAGGACTGGATTGCTGCAACAGACCGTCCAGGCGCCGCTTCTTACAGTTTTCAGATGTGACATCAGATGTGTAGGTAGTACTGTTGTCAAATTCTAGGGACGGCGATTGAATGAGATGAAGATCATGTGACAATGAAGTTTGAGTGGAAAGCTTCTGCGCTTCCATAAGAAGTTGGCGTCGCTGTAGAATGGTTCCACGTCGCAAAAATTTCCTGAAGCTATGTAGAGCATCCTAATATTTAGGGTTAGTTAGCATTCTAACACACAAAAAGCATCATCCGCATTAGAATCATGAGACCAGAGCTGACCGGTGATTGAACTACATCCCCCAGAGACACGTTCTCTAATGCCAGTTGAAACTCCGTGACCGGTTCTAGTAGCTGCCTTCGAATCATGTTGCTTGCCAGCGCTTGAATATTCAAAATTCAGTTCGCCAAGCGGCCAAGCGGCCAAGCTATCCAAGACCCGGGTCTTTATAAACAAAATGATGTCCTACCATGAGTACCATCGTGCCATCGAGTTTATTTCCAACACTGCATCAGATTAAAGTTCATAAAGAGATTGTGACAGGCTGACGATCGCACTTGAGAACCTTGGGAGGGTTGTCAACAAGTGCTGCTGTCCAGAGAAAGCTTATCGCATAAAGAAATAAGAAGACCGAAACCTTAAGTTGAGATAGCATTTTCCCTATCATGTTTTGAATTCAGAAGGTCATCCTATAAGGGCTTTTATCAAGTACTATTACCTATTCGAACGACCTGAATGGGTGAGAAGTTCTAAAAGCTTTACTTGAACTAACCTGGAAGATTATAACGAAAGGTTCTGTCAAGCATTATTATCGAGATAAGTGTATTGTACCGGTACAGGCCCCTTTCGAAGAACGAGTTTGAAACTCTCGGATTTTTCCGAATTGCCGACCAAGCAAACGTTGTTCAAAAAGGTGTCAAGGTGTTATCGAAAAAAAGCGGGGTGTAAGTCGGATACCCCACCTTCAGGCTACCCCTCTTTTAAACCATCTCAAAAACTTATATTATATAATATTAAAATATTAATTATTCAATAATCATTTAGTATTATAATAAATACTTGGAGATATATTTTCATTATTATTATTAGAATACCCTATATCAATTTTACAATCTTTTATTCTGATTTATACCTTTTTAATATCTTTGATTTTAAATTAGTTTTTATTTTATATTTTTTCAAATATAAATTATTCTAATTAATATTCTATTTGCTTTATTCAATACTTAGATTATATGAATTTAAAATCTTTAATATCAAATCCTTTAATAATTTTTCTTAAAGCTATATTACGAGCATCGATATAGAATCAGCATCAGGCCGATATTATTCCACTACTAAAGAATTTTCATACATATATAACTTCAGAAAAAGATTTTAAAAGAATCAATGAAAAGTTTTATTCTAAACTTATATTTATATTTTATACTAATTATTATCTTACATCTATTCTAATAATTCTTTTCATTCAATCTTTTTAGAATAAATCAGCGATTAGTTTTCAGGAATAGTTTCAAAAGCTTTGAAGATAATCCTTTCGAAGATTTTATTTCAATTAGATTATAATATGTTTACAATATGTTTAAGATATACTATCAATACACAATTAGTATTATTCAAATTAATATTATTCATATTATTATAATACCCCCTATTTTTATCAAAATTGTATTAAAAAAAAGCTAAGAAAAAAAAATATTTTTATAGTTCAAACTTTTTAGAATACTTATAAAGTATTTTTATAATATACCTTTAATATTATTTCGAAAATAAAATAAAATAATTAAATAAAACAAATAAAAGAACATTATGAGAAAGAATTTATTTTTTATAAAGCGAAGTTTTATTTTAAACAATATTATAAGATATCAATGATACTCTTATTTTATAAATTTGTAAAAAAAAAAAAGCTCTTTTATAATACCTTAGAGACCTTTTGTATAAAAAGAAGTTTAATTAATTATTTTGTAAATAATTAAGATTTGCTAATTAAGGCTAATTATAAATGATTAATATCATATTAAATAGTTTATATTTAACTAAAAACAAAACAACATTCTATTAAAATTGTTTTATTCAATAAGGGAATACAAATAAATTAGATTTAGAATTCTTGGAATTTTAAATTATTTTTAGGATTTCAGATTTTTAAAATATTTTCTAAGTTTCCTGATTTTTCGAATTTTCCGGATTTACTTTAGATTTTGAAAACTTAATTAAAAGCTAATAGAGTTTTACATTTTTCAATTATTTCTAATATTTTAGATTTCTTTTTAGAATCTTCAAGTTTTTAGGATTTGAGAATATTAATCTAATTAGTTTATAAAATTTTATCATTTTTTAGAATTTTGAGTTTTAAATATTATCTATTAATAAATAACTATTGAATTCTAATTTTATAAGTTTTATAAATTTTTGAGAATAAAAGCTGAAGAGGGAAAAGCAAAATTTTATTAAATATAAATCATTATCTTATTGAAAGGTAATTAACTCTTTCTTGAATTCTTTAAATTTTTTATTTTCAAAAATTTTCAATATTTCAAGGTTTGCAAACTTCAGATTTCAGATTTTGAATTAGCTTTTAGTATTCTTATTGTATAATATAATTGTTTCAAAAAGTATAAAAAAACTAAATCTTATAAAATAAGAATATAAATATTATACAATTAGTTATTGCTATAGAATTTAATAAAACTTTAATAATATAATAGTAATTGGCTATTAAATAGCTTTAAAACTTTTAAAAATAAAAGTTTAAAAAGAAGAGTTCTATTATAAATATTGATATAAAATTAGTATTAAACTAATGTTATTTTAATACTAAAGAACTTTATATATATATAGCTTCAGAAATAGGTTTTAAAGGAATCAATGAAAAGTCTTATTCCAGATCTACATCTATACTCTATACTAGTTGTCACCTTGTATCTACTCTAACAAGCTAATTATATATAAATATCTATTTTTTTATTTCAAATTATTATATATATATATCTTCTTAAATCATTAGTTTTTTCAAATATTTTAAAAATCAAAATTACAAATTCTATATTTTATTAATATATAAGATTATTGTCAAAATCTATATTCTAATTTATAATCTCTTTATTACTATTCTGAAATAATAATTTAAATATAATAAACTTAATAGAATTTATAGATTATAAACCTAAAGCTTTTTATTCAATTAATATATTATATTTTATTAAAGTATCTATTTATATTCTCTGATAATATATAAGAGAATCGATTTTTTTAATTAATCTAGAATTCAATAAAAAAGCTAATTTATTAATATAATATTTATATATTCATTTAAAAAATAAAAAATTAAAAAAATTAAATCAAAAGATTATAAAACGTATAACATATAACGTGGTTTATCAGTAAGCGGGTTATATTAATAAAGAAATTACTTATTTTATATACAAAACTCATTTGTATATAATTATGTACTTTCTTTATTTATAAATATAATTTTCTGAAAATTTAATACAAAACATTTGAATCTAAAATAATTTTAAAAATCTAATTAATTTTAAGAAACTAGAATTTACGAAATTGTTATTATAAAAATAGTTTTTTTGTAACAAAAATCGTAATAGTTTCCTTTTTTTTTTAGAAAATGATGAAATTATTTTATAAAAATTAAATTAATAAAAAATCTATACATTAATTATTTTTTAAGATCTTTTATTCAAGAAAACAATAATTAGTTATTAAAATATTAATATTTTAAAAAGCTTAATTTAAATGATTTTCGAAATAACTCGTTTACTAATATAACCTGTTTATTGATAAACCACGTTATAATAATAGAAATAAAAAATATATATTATACTTAAAGTATTTATATATAAATTTAATTGGTTGATAATTTTTATATCTATCTAATATAAGAAATCTGGGTTTATTCAATGAGAAAAGAGTTATTTAAGAAATGAAATCCTTTTAAGTTATTCTAAACTAATATTATTTATAGTTTATATCACGAGGCAGACAGACAAGAATAGGATTCTAGTAACTTTGTTCTGATTTAACAAAGTTATATTAATTCAAATAACAGGTTCAGATTGAAGATTAAGACGTAACTCGAAAAGCTATAATATAGAGTCTTCCAAATTGAAGATATATAGAATTTTCACAAGCGAGCTAGCCCGATCGGGCCCTAGCCCACTTGCGCTCCAGCGCAAGCACCCATTTAGGTTCTATTCGATAAAATAAATGACTTTTTATATAGTTCTAAAAAATAATCTTTAAAATCCCAAAATCCAAAATAACTTTATATTAAATATTTATTTATTATTATATATAAAGTTATATTAATATTATTTTATATATATAATTTAGATATAATATAATTAATAATATATCAAATTTTTAATTCAATTAATAAAAGTTTTATAAAGTTATTAAAGAATGAATAGAAAAGATATCTTCTTATAATAAGCTTTTTTGTGATGGCTTAAAAGAGGGATGGCCCGAAAGTGGGGTATCCGACTTATACCATCTCTCCCCAGAAACCGAATACTGCTTATCAAGAGACTTCCGACGAAAGGTTGTTGTTAGTGGAGATTCTTTCTACAGATTAGTAATAAAGTGGAGTATGAAGTGATCATCTTTTGAATTACACTTTCTGACAAACACGAATCATTATCCACCCGGTCAAGTCACCTGTTTTCTACCGCTCCTCATACGTCACAAGAGGTATTAATAATTGTATGATATGAAATGATAAGAAGATATAAAAGCTTGATTTGAGATAAGTTTTTCCATTCTCGTTTCAAATCTAAAGGATGATGTTACGACGGGTTTTATTCGGCTCATTAGTCCATGCCGCTCTCCAAACTCACCGCCGTTCAGCCTCTCTGAAGAAGTAAGAAGAGCCGAAAGCTTATTATGATGTAAGTTTCCGAGTTTCCGTTTTAGAAACTCAGAATCTATTCCAGATGGCCATGCGCTGCCTCAAACATTTCTAAATTCAAATTGTACAGAAAGTATACCGTCTTCACGACTCCCCTCTGAAGAGAGTTGAGAGCCAAGATGAATGAATGCGTTCAGTGGCTCATGATATTTAAACCAAATCTATGACTTGAAAGCAACATTCAATTCATTCTGACGAAAGTCTTCGATTCGTCACGGAAAGCGGAGTAGGTCGAGTTCATACAATATCTGCCGGGGTCAAATTGTGTTAATTTGCGAAATGTGGACGATTAGTGAAATTGTTCCAGGAGGCAACTGTCCTCTTAAACAATGCGTATCTCAATTGTTCCAGGTGGCAACTGTCCTCTCAAACAATTCCCATATCAAGGCACCCCTCACTTTGCTTTGGCAAACTTGACTTACATCCAAATATAAGTGCCTGGTAAAAATGGAGGCTCGACTCAAGACGTTGAATTAATGGACGTCTATTAATTCCAACACATGGCTTCTTTACTTGTCAACTTCTGGAACGGCTTCCGCAACATACTGCCCCATGCTTACATAAATATTCCTCAATCTAATCACCATGAGAGCGACACAGAAGATATCAACACGAAAGCAGCAGAAGTGGACTCAACAACTTTCCGGAATAGGAATGGCACCTCTAGATTCCACGCCATATTCCTCTACACTTTATCACTATTGCTTGCAGTAGCGTTGGCCAGCACAATGTTGGGGAAAGCTGCAGACTGTGATGGTCCTTTAGGTAGTTATGAGAGAGGATTCGAGACTGAAATAAGTGGGTTGCTCTGATGATGAGGCATCGAAATGATGTGGGAAGCTGAAACCCGATAGGACCTGATCGTAACACATTAGCTTTGAAAAGGGTCAAGTTTTATGGAGGATTTGTATATGATGAGAACGGCACCGCGTCTCTAACTCAACCACCTGGCCCTGACTATTTTGGCATCCCTGGTCGTGAAACAGACCACTATTGGAACCTCGATTTAAAAGGCATGTTTCAAACTACAGTGAAAATCTGAGCTTTACTAACACGTTATCGTGATGTCCAGATCGATTTATTGCTGTTCCACCCAAAGACTGGCCATCGGAAGCGGTTGAGTTCTTAGAAAAAGACTTGGTGCACGGGACTATACGTTTGGAGCAAGTTCTTTCTGATCTGTGTGGAGAATAGCATTTTAACCATCGAATCTTCTCTTTATAGGACAAATGGATTACATTCACTTCATTGTTTAGTAAGTTTGACTTTAATTTAACTCTATGTCAAAAATTGACCTCAATCAGAATTATATAAGAATGTCACTGTCACCTGAGTGGTACTTTGGCCCCGTAAGAGATCCAAATCCACAAAGACCGCTTGACATGCATCTTAGTAAGTTAAAAGTATGAATCTATAGGATGCTTTTCGTAACTAAATTGGACGCAGAACATTGTTTAATGCAGATTCACCAACTCCTTATGTGTCAGCTTGATATGACTCCAATTCCAAGAACTCTGAGGCCTACTAAGCATATACATCATGCGGACACAGATATGTGGCACGTTTGCAGAGATTTTAGTGCTTTGAGGAACTGGATGTATCCATTAGAAGAACACCATACGTGATGGATTTGGTGCTGTGATTTGTATTCATATGTAGTGGAGCATTTCGCTCTACACCTTTTGAAAGGCTGCGCAGAAATTATTCCCACACCTAAGAAGTTTGGGGATAGTCCACTCCACAGGCTACTTGCTAGAGTTCTATCCTCACTACAGATTATTCGTAGACTTTGAAATTATTCACCCAGCATAGATAATCCACGAATTATTGGTGGATCATCTGTCTGTATAATTATATATTATGTTGAATTGCAACAAAGCTCTAGCTCCTTCGATCGGAAAGATATAAAAGCACGCATGATGCACTCTCTCACTTGCTCACTTTTATATTTGAAAGATTTCACCTCGAGGTATTCTTTCTGCTCGCTCATATAGAGAACGATGTTGAGAATACTTGACTCCTTAATGATGTGACAGCGGCCAAGTTCTCGAATAGTGCATGAGGCTCATCTTTCGAGGGGCACTTTATACTTGAAAGACACTCATGCGTAATGTGGCCATTTTTCCCGGTAATGTTGGCGCCGCTTAAATTAGTCACAGAATTTCAAGAGATTAAGACACCTTCTTCATTCTTTTTCATAGTCTGCTCATTTTACTTTCGTCACACTGCGTCAAGATCTTTGCAGGTTAGGAAGATACTAAAATTAGCTAGAAGAACTCGATTTTTCCTCCATGTGTCGACTTTAAGTTGTTTCTGATATCCTACACTCTAAGAATGAGTTTTCACAGCACGAGTAAGGTAAGACGATGCTGTGATATTGCTGGGAAATTTTGCTAAAACTATCATATCAGATGGAGCAGAGACTGGCACTTCTAGGAGAGGCAGAGACCGAGCAAGCCTACCCGGAAGATTGCAGCAGCGATCGCACATTGTCGCCGCCTCTGTGCGACGATAAGAAACTCGACGATGATGCGCATCTACATTCTATCAGGAAGTGGCAGTACACAGGTATTTATGTCGGATTAGCCTTTTTATTCGTTGTATTTGGTATTGGCTCGATTCTTGGTGAAAGGATTTCTTTCGGCCCATCGTCAGCCAAATTCATAAACATGGGAGAATGCGGCCGTACACCGCAAGAAGCCCGAGACAGTGGGTGCGTCTTTGATCTCATGATGTCCGGCTGGGTACATCCTCCTTGTTACGACCAAGAACTGTCCGATGAGTTTTTACTGGTCAACAATTTCACCTTTTATAGGGAAAAAGAGGGTATCAATATCATGACAGAAGCAGAGGCTCGTCTGGGCAACTACGAGGTCATATACAGTCATGGGACCTTTCACTATCAACATTGTGCCTACATTTGGGCGAAACAGATACGTGCGAATAAGAAGTCCCCTCTTATCTTAGACAGTGTTTCACGTTCTAAAGAGCACGTTGAGCACTGTTACAACCGGGTCGGGAGCCCGAACGTAACTCAGCTCCAGCTTGCAACTGGGACGAAGATCAAGAGATCGGCGTTCAGGCTTAGATGTATGATCGGCGAGATGGAAGTCTTTTGAAGCCAATATCGTGGTGGGGAGGTGTGGTTGATGATAGCAGAGCGGGAAATCAATTTTAGAAGGGTTGAATAGAAATGTTGTGTCATACGGGTGCATTCAATTCATGAAAAGACTCTTTCGAAAACCTTGCTAACTTGCGGACAACGATCTTGTCACCAACTTACTTTTCTTAGTCCATCCCGCTCGACCAAAGTTAGTCAGAATCCTGACTTCGTCCATCATCCATCATCCCACATCCACAAACCCAAGATGCGTTTGAGACCAAAATGCATTTACATCAGCTTTGGGTCCTTTGAATACAACCAAATTAATCACAAAAAATCATCCTTCATGTAAAAGCCATTCACGAGACATTATTGGCTTTAAAGATCTCATTATTCTCTGCCAGATTATTTTACCTAAGAGCTATCCACAGATAATCTGCAAAGTAGATTTATTGAAGGCCCTCAGACAGTACATTTGCTTTGGTCGCATTTGAAGCTTATGGGGGCAAAGCAAAACCCGATATGCTGGGATCTGACATATTACTGACGACATTCATTATTGGAACATAAAATACTCTCAATGATATACAATTGACTAATACTCTCGAAATATCCTCACAAATATTGACACTCGTTATAAAGTGGGACTTAATTGAAATACATGAAATACAGAAAATACTCATCACAGCACCGGTAGAAATTTACCAATTTGCATGCTCGAAATTGTGCCTGTGGACAATGAATACAACCATTACGTGCGTCTCCATCCCTCCTCTTTTCTTTGGTTGCCTGCAGCCCGTTCAGATACATAGTTTCCTTAAAACACCGTCTCGACAATCCTCGAGTCCTTGAATACCTGAAGCATATCCCAATTCCGGCAAGTATGTACAACATCCGACTGCACAAAACTTCTCCCATGCCCTTCATACCATATGACTGGTATTGGTGTAAGATCAGCATGGCACATTAGCTGCTGTCTAAGGTGATCTAGGCAATGATCGCGGTGTGCTCTGTCTGGATAGGCATGTTTCGTCTTTTTGTTGTAATAGAAGTCCTTGTCCAAAGCTTTTCTGATCTCGTCGACGCAATGAAGAGCATGGTAGACATCCAGTCCCACGAGGTAGCCAAGACCAGGGTGATTGTAAAGTCCGTGAGGCGTTCCGAATGCGATCTCGGCCTCCTCTTCGGTGACGTTAAAATATCGACCTTTGACCAACTCCTTCCACGCCGCGTCCACTTCGTCTGTAGGCGGTCCGACGTATCTTGGCTCGGATGGATTGTGGACTATGTACCCAGTACCATTATCGTACCAGCGAGGTCCTCCATAGAACATTTTCGATTCTTGTCGAACATAAGGCTTTGATGGGTCAAACTCAGTACTAAATCCAGTACCGAATGAACCAGAACCAAGATCGCGGCTCTTGTGTTGCTTGGAGTGCAAAAGAATCTGGACTCCATTGATGAATGCAAAAAGAACAGTGAACACCCACCCCATGTACAAGAATGATGTTGAGAGAGACTGAACAGCTGGACTTGATTTTTCAGATCCATCTTCACTTTGGCGCACTACTTCGTAGCTTCGGGAGCGGGTCAATTTCATCGTGGTCTTGTGATATTGTTTGATGGAAGAGATGGAAGATGCGCCCTGACTGATGAATTCATGTCTTCTCTTAGACCACCTGAATATACCCTAATCTTCATGTGGGGAGTCTATCCGGTCTTTAAGGGGGCAATACCAGCAGCGCTACTTGATGGGGGAAGTGATTCGAGGGCTATCTTTAAAGGGGCAACATTCAAGAGGTTTTCTTATAGCGCCTGACCTTAGTGAGCATTATTAGTTCAATTCAATTTCCTCTTGAATTTCTTGACCTTCACCTGCTTTACCTTCACATCTAATGCAGGATCACTCTGTCCCAGCACACCAAGAGTTTCCAATCTTTGTTCTCATTCTTGCACTTATTATTATATCCATTATTCTGTTGGTAAATATCTATAGATGGAATCCCCGGAATATCTCAAATCGCCCCTCTTGGGTACAGGGTCGGAGAGCGGCGATTCCACGCTGTTTTCATCCCAGGAGTACGAGCGCCAGAAAAAGCCGCGAGCAAAAGTGAGCTGGTACACTTACATTGTGTTGTCGGCAACAATTATATTGGCATGGACATCCGGACTCCTTTTGTACAATCATTACACAACTACCTCCCCTTATGCTCTGACTCACCGAGGAGAATGCGGGTGGTCGGTCGCAGAAGCAAAAGCAAACGGTTGCGTTTTCGATATTATGATGTCCTCGTGGCTACCCAAGCCATGTTATGATAAAGAGCTCTCGGATCGATACCTCGTCGTTAACAACTTCACATTTTGGGAGCACAGCAAGGGTACGGGTCAGCTTTCACAGGAAGAAGTGCAGAAAGGAGAATTCGATATTATCTTCACTCACGCCACATATCACACCCAGCACTGCCTGTGAGTAAGCCTCTCTTTTCATGCTAATTCATGGCTGCAAGAAATCAGCAGCAGATCTCGCAAGCTCTTCAATAGTGGTACTATACATTTACTGACTTTGGGCCATGAAATAACAGTTTCCTCTGGGAAAAGCAAATAAAAGCCGCAAACTCAAGACGTCCAGTCTTGGACTCAATCACAAGAAGCCAGCATCATATAGAGCATTGTATAAGAATCCTCACCGCTCACACCGCCGAGAACTATACTTCGACTGAGAAGGCATTGTTTAAGACTGGAACGCCGATTCACGTGAAGCCGCAGAACCAGATATGCTGGGAGGGTTGAAACTGCTTGTGGAGCAACTATGAGAAGCTCCCCCAAAAGGGAAGTGCTGATGTTGATGCCTTTTTTTTGTAGTAGCTATACAATGGGAGTGAGTTGAAAGTTCTTGGCTAGATTTATTTTTGAGGCGATATTTCCCGCTTAACATACATTTACGATTCATTGGAAATTTACCACATTAGAATCGTTGTGTTTACTCACGTACGTTCGACCAGAGCGGAATTACTAGTCAAGTCTGCAACATTCTCATTTTTAATCTGCCTTCAGTGAATACTTCAAAATAGAAAGCAGGAGTTTATAGTATGGGAAAAGTGCAGAAAAGCTTCAAGGTATCACTGGAGTTCGGGCATGAACGATCAATGTGAGAATTAAATACAAGGTTTAGCTCCGACGCTTTATTTGTTCACTCAAATCCAGGTAAAGAGCGGGACTGATGTATGTGGGTGCAGAGGTAACTTCGGTCCGCGTGGGACAGCAATACTCCCATTGTATCTCGCTTTGGAAAACTCGTGAAGCTTTTCAAAAACTCTGCAGGTATGAACTTGCTTAGGATTAATATACTGGCCACGTTTATCATGCCATTCGCTAGGGGATATAACGCTGCTACCCTGGCACATTATCACTTGTCTTAAATGATCGATACAATGCACTGCAAAATTAATGAGATTGGCTGTGATTTTCCAAATAAGACGAGGGGTCTTGTTCCACTTACATTGGTGTATCATCCCTCGATGTTCTTCCTCGGGATAGACGTCGCGCCGCAGTGCTTTTCTTAATTGATTCTGTTGCCAAGTTATCAGCGGCGTTTATATCGAACATGATTCAGTGCAAAGCATACCAGGCAATGTAGACAGTGAAACATGTCGAGCCTAACTCTGTTAGATATGCAAGCCACCTGGAAGAGTCGGTATAAACTCACGTGCCAGTCCACCCACCCCTGATTCTGTCTCTATACCTGTCGGACTCTGTACCCCAAAGACTTCTAGCTTCATCCTCAGAGACCGAAAAGTAATGAGATTCTCCACCGATGATAGCATTCCATGCTTCGTCGATTTCAGGACTAGGCTCGCCGACGTAGAGTGAGGGAGCGAGGACTTCTACGCCTTCAGGGGTGAAGTCCACCCCGCCAGAAAATCTTGTCTGCATAAGCTCGAATGTTTGAGAGGGTGCTATTAGTCAAGGAAAGTTAGCAACGATCTTGAGGCGAAAGCAGGAAACATGGATTTCATTTGACTTACTAATAATTCTCTCTTCAACAAATCCATTTTCAGCCGAACCGAAAGAACTATCCCGTTGCATTTTACTGGTCATAATACCCGCAATAAAAGCCGCTGCACCCCATAAGAGTAATATGGTAACTATGATGACCACTTGAGTCGTATTACTTACAGGTCTCAATGGTCTCGGCGCGTCTGTGTCGCCCTCATCCTTCGGTAGCAAATTTTCTTCACTTTCCGTTGATGCTTTGTCGACTGTATGTTGATCTCTCCATCTGTCGGCCTGAGGATTGAACAATGACGAAATTAAAGCCATGTTGGATGAAAGAGTGAATGAAGAAGAACTCAAATAATCGGATGGTTGTGATGGGTATTTTGATGTAGAGGAAGCCGTTCGATGTGGTTTTCATTTGATGTGGCAAGTGCCCCGCGAAATAAATCCGGTCTGATCGTCGCCTCGCTTATCGGGGCAGGGTGCTTTGCAATTTAAACAAGAGTCGCATAATTCTCACGAACCCCGAGAGAAAACCTTATCGTGAAAAAAGCCCGGGTAACACATTACTTGATTGAAGGAGTTGCAATTTTGAGTGTTAGCCGGCAATCGAGGGTGAATTGGCGAGGGTGGAGTCCGTGCTGAAGCCTGAGCCCGTCGCATACAATTGCTTAATGATATGATTGAAGTCGTATTATGAGTCTGTATCTTCTTTCAGCTCCTTCCAAATATACATACGCTCTTCCGGTGTTGTATGTCTTTAGCCGCCAAGTCATCAACTTTATTATTTTAGTCTTTTCAGGATGATCAGCAACGGACCATTACTAGTACTTGCTTCTCAATTTGTTGCTGTAATGATTCATGGCTTGGCCAAGTTCCTAGAGACAACCGCCTCGGTAGACCCCCAACAGATTCTCCAAGTCCGTATGTTCATCACTTTGAGTATCAACAGTCTCTTCCTCACGATACGCTATCCGAAGGAGCTGCCTCTTGGTAAGAAAAGTGTTAGAGGTCTGCTCATACTGAGAAGTCTGGGTGGCATTTGTGGTTCAGCTGGATTTTATTGTGGGTATCCTGTCAATCGTTTGACATCAGGTTAAGAGCATCTTCACCTCCGAACCCTCGACTGACTCTCAATTTCGTCTCAGATTCTCTGCAGTATCTTCCTCTAGCAGACGCAACAACTTTGAACCTCCTCGCACCCTTGGGAGCTAGCCTCGTCACAACAAAAAGATTAACCTTGATACAGATTGGTTCCATAGCAATCTGTTTCCTTGGTGTGGTACTTATCACTAAACCAAGTTTCATCACCGATCTGCTTTACTACAATAATGGATATGATCCCCAGAAGACTTGGAACCCTCAGTCGCGGCAGGGACTGGCCTGTGCAATGATCGGGGTGCTGGGCGGAGTAGTAAGCTGAAAATATCAATTTCTTCCCTAGAATTCTACTGACGTCAGCTTTTCAGTGCGCTTACTCTTCAATTTTCAAGATCGGGACACGATCACACCCACTTGTGACAACTAACTGTTTTGCCACTGGCATCCTGATAGTGAGCAGTGTTTGTTTTGCTGCCGCCCCAGGAGTCAACTTCAACTTTAATCTAGGCTTGTTACAGTGGTCTATAATGGGGTGTATTGGGCTCTCTGGAACCTTCATGGTAATACAATATTCCTCAAACATTAATCAACACTGACCGAGTCAATTAGGAGTACCTTCTCACAGCAGGGCTTTCTGATGAAGGTCATGGTTATGCCGTTCATATGATCTACTGCCAGGTGGTTCTTGCCCTCGTTGCGGATTGGCTGATCTGGCATACTATACCTGATGTCACTTCTGGCATGGGTGCGGTACTGATTATTCAGGCTGTGTATGTGATACAAAGATATCGACATAGAGAAGACGATATAGTTGACATTGAAATGGCACCTTACACGCGAATTTTAGATCATTGACTTGAAATTTGTTATAATCAATTCATTTAGATTAGATTATTCTTCTTAGGGTTAGGAAAGTTGAAATATTACTCACAGGGAGAGAATTATCGGAGATTTGGCCTGGCGAAAGAAGAAAAATTTCGATTTAGTATTTGCCCTTGTGAAAGTTGAGTTTGCCTCGATTTGATGCTAAAACTTATTACAGCACTTATTTCGATCCGTCAATATCATCCTGATATAAGTTTTATTTGACTTCGAAAGGAGGCTGATTCAATGATGAGCTCGAAATTAACGACAGGAGAATATTCAACTTGTGCTGACAAATCTTCTTGTTCTGAGTTGCAAGTTTGAGATTTTCACAGCAGATATTCTGGTAAATGAAGTATCGAGCGACAAAGAACACAATAATGGAGGTCCAAAAAGTTTTTATTTGCTAACTGGGTGTGGAAACCTGCCAGTAGAGAGTATTTGAGTTTCGAATTGGGCCCAGAACCAGATCCATTCTTCTTCAGACAAAGTTACACCAGTTCCATTTAATCCCACTACCACGCTCTGCAGTTCAAGTACTAAGACTTTATGACCAAAGAAAGATGCTTGGAGCTCCTCTCCCGTGCTATAGGCTTTGATCAATGCGCAGATTCTTTAAGCAATCTCGACGAAGATAGAGCGCTCAGTGATCTATAAGTAATTGAGTCAGCGTCTTTGTTCCATACATCGTTTCAGGAATTGACCATACCTCTGGGGAGCACTCAGAATCAGAGCCCTCAGAGCAGTTATAACAACAGTCACCGTTGTAACAACAAGTGTCGGAGCTAACACCTTCGCAAACCTGGCCATTGGAGCACTGAGGCTCGCGAGTATCTAACAAGTTAGGGTAGGAAGGACCAGCGACGGCAAGGGTAGCGAAAAAAGCGGCGGCGGCCACAATGATTTGAGAGAACTGCATGATGGCGAATTCTGTCTGGAGTTGGAGTTGTTGGATCTAGTGAAAAGGTTGAATATTGATAAGGATGTCTGGATGTGATGTGTTGTGACTAGGTGATTACGCAGCAACGACTGCCTATATATAGTCAGAAGTTTGTAGGGTCTTGGTGTGTGTTCAGAGACTTACTCTTTCCGAGGGCAGCTGCTCTTTGAAAGAACTGCGTCAAATACACTTTGACCTCAGAGTATCGGGCATAGATTCATTCCAATTTTTCTAGACAGGAATGTGCGCAGTCGCTTACAGCAGTGAGCCACTCCACATGCCCCTTTAAACATCAGTGCCTGGATAATGAGATTGCGCCGTCACACTTGTTGTGTAGTACTGCCAAACTGAAACTGTAAATAAAGCTTAACAGCCAATATTTCCTTTGGGCTAATTTCGTTTGTTTTAACTCATATTCTTTTTATATTGCATCCATTAAACATCCGAATTTTTTACGTTAGTGACACGCATACCTCTATGAGCTTTCATAACCAAATCATTTATATGGACTGTTTCAGTTCTTTAATTCACTAAGTGAGCAAGATGGAAGCTTTTATGAAGGACCACAGCGGCACCATCAAACAGTAGGTTTTTTAATTACGTAGCTGAGGCATTTATTTACTGACATTTTCTGAGGTATATACCACTCGTGGGCAGATTCCTGATAGTTGTGACATTCTTGGAGGATGCTTTTACGATTGTTACTGAGTGGAAGAATCAGCTCATATTTCTGAATCAATACCGGAAAAGTCAGTACTGTATGGTTAACCTTAACCATGGATTTTTTGCTAACTTACTTCAAGTTTACTACGGATTAGCTAATCTCATACTTCTTACTAATGTTCTTTTGATGTTATCCTGCTCTTCCCTTGTTCTTGCCAGAAAACACACTGGATTTGCAGCTGGAGGCCTCATTTTCGTGGTTATAACGCAAGCATTATGTTATGGCATGATTTCGGACTTTGGCTACTTCTTGCGTAACCTTTCGGTTCTTGGGGGGTTGCTGATAATGTTCTGCGAGTCATGGGCGCGCAGGAGATCAGCGATACCTGGCTTACCTGAGATTGAAGAAAAAGACCACAAGATGTATGTTCAGCTCGCCGGTCGAGTCCTCATTGTTTTAACCTTCCTTGCATTCTTTTGCAGCCTGGAATTGAATATATTAAGCGTCTTCATATCCATCATTGGATTTGGTGTCTGCGTTATGGTCGCTGTCGGATACAAAGCAAAGATGAGCGCCGTTATTCTCGTCTCCATGTTAAGTGTCCTCAACTTTCTTATCAATGATTTTTGGAATGTGAGTTTAAGATGATATTTGCAAACGAGAAAATTCGCTGACCAGGAATATAGCTTCATCAGACTCATCCTCGCAAATCTTTTGCTAAATATGATTTTCTGCAAACCTTATCTATCGCAGGAGGTCTCATTCTTCTAGTAAACAATGGCCCAGGTGCATATAGTATCGATGAGAAAGCAAAGAAACTGTGAGATACCCAGTATCTCGAGGCGATGGCGTGGCCGCCTTATATTACTTGCAGCGGGGTTAAGCTGATGTAAATCTGTTAATTGGATCTACTGTCTCATATGTGTTATGGCTAGCATTACCTAGTTATCAGGCTACAAATTTGCCCTTGATTCTGATTCTCTAGCAATCCTCTATCACTTAGTTGCAAGATCTTTATCAAAAACATGATGCAGTGACAAAATGTGTTGAGAGGCTCGTAATCAATTAAGAATGGACTTCTCCCAAATGTCATTGTTGGTGTGTGGCAACATGTCTACTTCAACCTAGCATTGCTGAAATAGCAAATTCATGAAAGAAAACACTGATAAGTATAAGAGATACCTCGTCTGGTCCGCAATTGTCATCTCACAGCGCGAGCACAGAGTCTCTCATTCAATTCTCTCCAAAGATTCCGCGAGATACATAATATCTGTGACTCCCGAGGTAAGCGTAAGAGGCTTCTTCTCTAAAGCTCCAATGAAGATATACTGAGACAAAAAATGGCAATTCATGACCACAAGTCTGCACTATATATTCTGGCATCGGATCGCACAGAAAGCTCCTTTTTGAGAGACTGTTTTTGCCACTTATCTTGCTCTCGGAGGAAGGGTGAGTTAGGTAGATATTCCACGCATGTTGAGAGCGGGAATAGCTTAGCTTATCTGTTCTCTTAGAGGTTACGTTTTATAATGATAAGAATAATTATTATTATTATTATAATAATGGAAGATCTAGTTAGTTTAGGCTTTAGAAACAAATCAAATATTTATATAAGTTGAATTGAAATCAATTTATAAAAGCTAGGCTTATTTTAATATAAAATTGCTTATTTTTTCTTTAGATTTTCTTTAAAGAATATCCTAGGTTTATATAGTTTATAATGAAATTCTAGTATATTCTATATTTATAAGTAAAATTAATTTAAATCAAATCTTAAGGAATTATTTTATATAATAAAAAGAAAGTATAACGTAGTTTAACATCAAGTAGCCTATATCACTAAGTAGTCTACTTTCATCTCAATTTATATCTTTTTCTTTCAATATATATTTTATTAATAATCTATAATGAATTCGAATAATCAAAAAGCTTATATACTCCTTGTTATCAAAACTATTCAAAAAAATAAAAAACTAAGTATTTGAAAAGCTATTATACTTTATAATATTCTTCATATAATTTTTTGATATAAAATAAAAGATTTATCTTTTTATATAGAAATTTGAATTAATAGTTATAAGATTATAGAATTAGAAAAAGAAATAATTATTTAATATATATTCAATATAGATTCAAGAGAATTCCTATTTAAATTAAAGAATATAGAAAATATAATAAATTATATTCTTAAATTGAGGGGTATGAAATATATTAAAAAACTCTAAATGTATTGATTTATAAAATATTGAATTTGCTGGAAAACACGTGATATAGCACTTGATATAACATGTGTATATCTTATAAAACTCCTTTATTCAGGCTTTTCGAATAGATAGATTTAATTAATATCTTTAATATATTATTCTTTATATATAATTTACTATTTATTTCTAATAAATTATAAGCTTTGTATTATAATTAATATTATTTTATTCTATTTTAGAATATATATATCTATTCTTTTATTATTCTTACTATATTTATTAAGTATATAATAGATTTAATCTAAATAAAATAAAGGACATTTATTATATTCAAAAATAACAATTAAATTGAATTTTATAAATCTCTTAAATCTATAATAATAGTATTCATTTATATTGATATATATATAAATAACAAAATAACATCAATTAGAAATCATTTCGATATTATTGATTGAAGAAAATGAAATAGGATTATAGTTTTTATTATAGATTTTTGTTTAATTCTTATTTATTATTTTTAAATTATATATTTTATTAAAAACAAAGATCTTATAGGTATATAAATGAAAGTTTTAATTTTCAATAATTTATTGAATTCTTAATATATTGAGGATATTAAAAAGTATTTTCTATATAAATAGTTTAATTTTGAAACAAAATCTATTTAGATTTTTTTTGATTATTTTCTTTAGTATTAATATAAGATATTTACTTTAAATAATCTGATTTTCAATAAAGATATATATTATTAGCTTTTAAATTTCTTTTTCGAAATTGATATTTAATAAATATAATAAAACTTTATTATTATAATAAATTTGAGATTATAAAATATATTATTCATTTTATAAAAAGTTAAATATATTTCTCAAATTAATATAAATATTATATTAATTAATATTATATATGATTTTATATATAAATAAGAATTTCAAAATATTTAAGAAAAGAGAGAAAAAAATTGAAAAAGATATTATGAATATATAAGAAATTCTATAACTTTATTAGAATCTAGTAAAGTTAATAAAATCGATATTCGATTTTATTAATTTTATAAAAAAAAAGAATATTGGTAAAAGAATTACTTTGTGTATATTAAAATTAAGAGAATATTGAAATCAAATAATAAAATTATTGAAAATAGTTTCATATATATAACTATTATTTATTTAATAATAATAAAATCAGAATATATTACTTTTCTTTATTTTGTTAATATAATATATATTCAAATTTTTAATAATTATATTTGAATATTTGATTCTAAAGTCTTTTATTATTTTATCATTTCTTTTATAGATCTTATAAATATTATATATTAAAGTTTATTTTATTAAGTAAGAATTATTAATAATTTATATATTCTAGGTATCATTTTTGGAATAGTTATTATTGAAAATCTTATTTTGAGAGATATTTAATATATTAAAGATTTTTAATTTATTTAATTTATTTTAATTGGTATTTTTATAGAATTTGAATAAAAAGTTATTCTTGAAGAGAATTTAATATTTTATTGAAAAAATGGTCAATTTGAGATATTAATAAAATCTATTAATAGTAATTATTTGATTTAATAATCTATTTCTTAATAAATTTATATAATTAATTTAAACTCTGAAATAAAAGAGATTAAAGTGAATAATAATAAAGCTGAGATTATATAACGTGATTTATCAGTGTGCAGGTCATATCAATATGCGGATCACTTTCACCTCAATTCACTCTTTCAAACTCATATTATTCAACAATCATTAAATCAATTAATTAAAATTATAAAAACTATAATAATCTAGGACTTATTACATTATTCTAATAAATTCTTATATTATAATCTATCTCTTTATATTTATTATAATATTAATTAAAAAATACTTTTTTATTAGAATTTCCTTTTTTTTAATATTTATTATATTAAATCTAAATATCAATTTTTTATTAAAATAATATATTGAAAGTTTTTCATTCAATAAATATTTCTCTTTAATATAATTAATTTTTTTTTGTATATTAATATTGATTTAATGTTTCATTTATTATTTAAAGTATATAATTCTTTATATTTAAAAGTATATTTTTATAAACTAATTTTTTTGTATTTTTAATTT